TAATCTTAGACTCATTTTCTTCAATTTCCATTAACACCCATTAGATTTCTAGGCTTAAATCATGTTCTTAAGGGTAGAAAATTAAGGATTTGGGTAGAGTTAGGGCTTTTTGTATAATTGGGATTTAGACCTCGTTTTGGGGTCGAATTTTAGAACTAATTATATATTCGGACTCGTGGGTGAATGAGTGATGGGGTTTTGGTCCGAACCTCGTGTTTTGACTATGTGGGCCCGGGGGTCAATTTTTGACCTTTTGGGAAGAATGATAGGAAATCTATAATTAAGCATTGGAATCTGATTGTTTAGCGTTTAATGATGTTATTAAGTCGATTATGTCTAGATACAATTGATTTGGAGCCAAATTCAAAAAGAAAAACGGTGTTTGAAGCTTGAGTTGGCCGTGGAAGTTCGAGGTAAGTGTTTGGTTTAACCTTAGCTTGAGGGATTAGGAGTTGTGTCCTATTTGCTACGTGTTACTTGTTGAGTACGACGTATAGGCATGATGACGAGTATCTATACGTTGTTGTTGATGTCCGAACGCCCACTTAATAAAGTTTATGTTACACGTAAGTCCAAATTGCAGGCAGTGGCGAAGCCACGTATTGATAACCCTTCGTCGAAAAATTGCATTGTTTATATAGGTAAAATATTACATTTTAAAAATACATAACATATATTGAACACCCTTTGTCGGATTTTTTTTCACTTTTTTTAAATTTAAGCACCCTTTATCGGAATTTTTTCCACTTTTTTAAAATTTGAATACCCTTGGAGAAATTACTAGCTTCGCCACTGATTGAAGGGGTAAGTATTGGGTTGAACAAGATTATATTCTCTGCCAATTCATCAACATGCCAAGACCTTTTTTTATTCTTCAAACTATTAATGTTTACGTTACACGTAAATCTTTATGTGTTTGTCACTTTCAAGGAGGAAAATGATTGGAAAATTATAAGCATTTGCTAGGCCTTTTCCTACTTTAGGAAGTTTTTTCTTAAAAGCCATCGGTCAGAAATCGTAGGGAAGGAAATAAAAGACAGACATGGTCCACACCTTTCTCAAATCTTGTTGACAACATTAACATAGGAATTCTTTTAGAAGTAGGTCTTTCATAAGCAAGCCCTGAAACGAATTGAAGGGCTGATATACATTGTAATGCTTTTACTATTTAAGGATTAATTGTACCTTCAATTATGAGAAAAAGCAAGCATATTCCCTATGTTTAACAGAATTAACCATTGAAAAAGAATCTATTGTTGCTCGCATCTGAGCCAATTCAATATATTGAAGGCAGTAATAAAAAGAAAATAACTTACAACAGCAAAAATAACGACCCAGTAAAATTTCATTAGTGGGGTCTCGAAAGATAGTGTGTACGCAAACTTTACCCCTGCCCCGTGGGAATAGAGAGGTTGTTTCCAAAGGTGGAGTCAAGATTTAAAGTTTATGGGTTATGAAATTATCATCGAACTCATTTCTCACTTATTGAAACCGATAAATCGAATTGAACCGAAATTATTACGGTTCGATTTTGATCATTAAAATCACAAACTGAAAACCGAATCAAACTTCTGCAAAATCGAATCGAATCGAATCGACCGACGCTCACCCCTAACTACTAGTCAGGTCTATATTAACAATGTAGCGGTATAGTAGTCATCTGGGACTAGACAGCTAAAAGAAGGAAATAGGAGAATAATGATTGTACTTTCGTGAAAGGGATCCATTCTCAATGTTACTCTTCTTTTTATGTGATATAATTTAAGAAAGAAAAAAATTTGAATTTGGGGTGTTAAATATATTATTATGCTAGTTTTGTAGCTATATAAAAATATGTCATTAAAGATAAAAGGGCAGTCAGTGCACTAAACTTTCGCTATATGCGGTGTCCAGAAAAATTAAGATCGGACCACAAGAGTCTTATGTCTGCGGTCTTACTCTTCATTTCTGCAAGAGGCTATTTCAACGGCTTGAACATGTGACCTCACGGTAACATGACAACAATATTAAGTATATTTTTAAATATAAAAAGAAATATCAATTCTTTTTAAAATAATTGAAAAAAGAAAAAGCACACTTTAAATTAAATGAAATAGATGGTTTATAAGTAAGGGCAGCCTAGTGCACTAAGCTCCCGCTATGTGCGGGTCCGGGAAAGGACTGGACTATAAGGGCAACCTAGTGCACTAAGCTCCCGCTATGTGCGGGTCCGAGAAAGAATTGGACTATAAAGACAGCATGACAACAACTTTACCAGTTACGCCAAATTTTATAAGTACAAAATTAAATATCCAATTTAAAGCTTCAAAATGATTGGCCATATCTTTGTTTCTACGCACATGGAACTGTACGCTTGTCAGGGAAATATACAGTCATGGAAACTTCAGATTTAGTTCTTTCTTTCTTTTTTCAGAAACCCTTGATTGTTTCTTTTCTGATTGTTTCCCCTTTTATCGGAGGAAATTTCTTCATTTTTGTGTAGTAAAAACCAGACTGAATCTGCATATCTATCTATTAATGAAAGCACCAGCTGAGAATTCCACCTTAGGCTTTCCCTAGGCCCTAGCAATACTTTGACATTACCTTTTGTGACACCTTACCCCAGCTTCAACCTATTCCTAAGTGTATTATTGTTTGTTGGAACGCACCGACGTCAGTAATAATGGAGAGTTCAACGATATTTGTGACCTAAAGCTAAACTTTATACTTTATCGAGAGTCTTTAATTTTTTAATATATATATATTAAGTACCCCTTAATAACGATATAAGAACTCCAGATTGAGGGGTTTTTTTTTTTGTCTTTTCCAAATTAAAGCTAGACAATCTGATTCTCTTCCCTTTTCCCAGATGCTCCGGTACGAAGGTGTGACCGGCTAGCTTTGGAGGGCACGAGAAGAGGTAGAGGGTGACCTAAGAAGTATTGGCAGAACATGATGAGATTTTAGATTTTCGAGGACATAGCCCTTGATAGGAAGCTGCGGAGGTCGAGTATTAAGGTTGTAGGTTAGGAGATAGTTGAGTCTTTCCTTACTTCGTACCTTTGTGAGGCTAGTCTGGTAGGGGTTTTGTCGAAGTCAGTTAGTGGCAATGTTGCGCCTTACTATTCTTTAGTTCTTCATGGTGCCGAGTCTATGTACAGTCTATCGCTTTTGCTTTGCATCTACTTTTTATTTTCATGATGTTGTTTTTCTTATTGTTTCTATTGGTGGTACTGATATTGTCTATTTTTGTCCTCTTGAGTCAGGGTCTTTCGGAAACAGTCTCTTTACTCCTTCGAGGTAGGGGAAATGTTTGCGTACACATTACCCTCCCCAGATCCCATTAATGAGAGTTTACTGGGTCGTCGTTGTTGTTGTTGTAATCTGATTCTCTTCCCTCCTCTCTCTTCCATCTTGTTTAGGCCTAGTTTTATTTTGTGTCTCATACAACTGACACTAGTTGTATGAGGCTCCTTTTTGTCTCACAAATTTGTGGACCTCAATCTTACACTTTTGGGTCCACAGAAATCTGAGTTCACAAAACTTTGAGACAAAAAAGTTGTCTCATATAACTAGTGTCAGTTGTACGAGACACAAAATAAAATTTTCGTTTTTCTCTCTTCTCCCGACCTTTTTTCTCTCTTTGTAAGATTCAACCCACCAAATTAAAGGTCTGTCATGTGGGTCATTTGCCAAAATAGTAGAAAAAATATTCAGTTTCGTGTGCCTCAAAATCTCCAAAAACGTATTCTATTTGATAAAAAAAGTATTTTGCTTTATGCTTCTGACATAGTTTGAAATACATGGAATAAAGGGGACATCATTGACTACCAAGCCTCGTATGAACAAACATTCCAAGGTAATATATCCGATAGGTGCCAATATGCTTATAACTTCATCTAAAGCGATAGTGCAGCAAAATTCTTGAGGCCTAAGTCTTTCTTATAGGAGTATATAACCTCGAGAATTCTTCTTTCAGTCTTCAAAAAAACGCCCCTTTGTCTTCATTGTACCTCTGTACCTACTACTACTACTACTCCTCCTTCTTCTTCTAGTTTCCTGAGTGATAAATATTTTTGTCTCGTAGGTTATGTGCAGGTAATTCAATTGAAAGCTCATCAATGGCGGAACCGGTGACGATCCTCACATTTTCTGCCGCGATAATAGCTCTTTTCCTTGGCTGGCTACAGCTTAAATTTCAATATATCCAGCAGAATCTGTTTCAAGAGCATTCTATCATCGTCTCAATAGCTGTAGGCTCTTTGGTGATGCTGTGGTGCCTCTTTGTATTTTACGTGAAATGTGCTGAACTATATCAAGTATATGCGCGTAATCTTCCATTTGATGTCGATTTTTTCGCATTTCTTTCAATTGCAAGCACTGTCTCGCTGCTGTTGCCGCGCTGCCTTGTGTTTTTCCTCTACCTAATTCCTTCTGTGAAGATCCTCTATTGGTTTTTCGACAAGTTGGAAGATGCATTTGAGGACAAGCAGTTTTGGGCAGAAAGGGTTGATCCAGTTCTGTGCTACCTGAGAAGAAAGAAGAAAAACGCATTTCGTCGACTCGGCTTGGATCCATTACTTCCTTTATACAAGCTGACTAGCTAGCGTCATTTCTTTGCCGTTTCCTTTGTTTACACTAGTACTAGTACGTTGACAAGGTGGGAGCCAACGACCCCCTAAGACTAACCTATCTACAACTACATCCCGAGCGGCAGTCAAACGGGGGCGTGAATGTGAGATGCCAGCGGAATGATCGGCCGGGCAGAGGCTAGTACACTTTATTTTATTTATTATAAAAAAAATCATAAAAAATAAAAGTAACAACCTAAAAGATTCCCCCCAACAAATTCCTACTTTCTTGGTAGCTTCTCAACTTAGCATAAAAAAATATCCAATGAAGCTTTCTTTTGTCTTCATCACCGATTTACCAAAAGTTAGCTAATATTTTTTTCAAGTGGTCCAAAATTTTGTATCTATAATTGATATTATTCTTTTATTCCTTTTGGAAGTGAGCAATGAAAATTATAAAGAGGATTACTTTATATTCCGTCATCTATGTCAATCCTCAATCATATATTCTGTCTATATTAATCCTTATTTGTTCAACAGCTCCGGTCTTGGTTCAGATCTCTGGCAAGTTTAAGGTCGAATCTCTTTATTTGTACGTGAATTGGTAAATGCAATTGTGGTTAATCGAGGTTGGTTCTTACCATTTTTGATTTACATTTCTTAGTCGTTCTTTTCATTTTGTTTGTTCACAAATCCTTATTCATCATGTGTTTGCTTTTGGTATTTGTTGAAGAATCTTTTATTAGGTTCATATCATGCTCTGCCACAAATTTGAATTTTATTCTTCTATACTCGCTAATTATCTTCTCCGAACCATGCTCTAATTTAAGTGCACCGTTTCTTTTGATTGAACATAGAGGTTTTATTTTTGATTAATTAGTTAAATAAATTGGGACATATGATTTTAATCATGTGAAATGAGTAAGTATGGATTTAGCAGAATACAATTTTAGTTTTGTTTGAGTGGGTTCCTAGACTTTCTCTTCTTCTTTTTATTTATAAAATAACCGAGTTGAACCAAATGGACCCTTTTTGCAACTTAGATTGTAAAATGAGGTTTAGGCTTAGTGAAATGGTTTAGGCCGTTGGGGAATGATTTTGAAATTAAAATAGCACGTGTTAGCCGGTTTCGGACTGGTCATTCAAAAATAGACAGTGTTTGCCATGTTATTGAAAAATAGCCATTATTTTTCTGTAACAGAGACCGGTCCAGCATAATATACTAGAGTTTGATGCACATGTGTATGAACTTCCAGCATATTATGATGGACCAGTATACTTTGCTTGCTCTAATATAATATACTGGAGTTCTAGTATACTTTGCTGGAGTATACTGAAACTTCAATATATTATGCTGGTGTATTTTCCGGATTTTGAGCAGTGTTTTCATTCAGATTTATCTTTACATGAAAAGTGGTTAAATTTCGATGACTTTTGAAACTGTGACTATTTTTGAATAGCCACTTGTAAATCTGACTACTTTTGAATTTCTTCCGATTCTGAACTTAGAAGGGACTGCGCTTAAATAAGTAAAGTCCATGAGCTCAGAACGTTCTTTTCCTAATGATACTTCGAGCCAATATTAGACTGCTTTTACTGCACATGAAACTGAATAGTAGAGATACGAAACTCTTTATGTTTCTTGTGTTAAATTGCATGTACAAGCACTGTATTCATGTTCAAATGTCAGTGCAGCTCTAGAGGCAATTTGCAATTATTGGATGTGTTTTTGAATATTTTCTGGTTATTGATTTCGGAACTTTTGTGTTTTGGAAAAAGAGTGTCACAACGCCTGATTCTTGCCTTTTTCGCTGGAAATATGCACGGTCCGGTCCGTCCCAAACTTCTCAAGTATTGGAGGGACAAAGATGAATCCATAGAAATTTATGGGCCTTTACCCCATAGAGTCTCAAGAGTTATGTCTTATTCTGAACACATGAAATCAAGCAAATTCTGCCTTTGTCCGATGGGTTACGAAGTTAACAGCCCGAGGATTGTCGAGGCAATATATTATGAGTGTGTTTCAGTTATCATTGCTGATAATTTTGCCCTTCCGTTTGACGAAGTTCTTGAGTGGAGGGCTTTATCTGTGGTTGTTGCTGAGGAGGATATTCCTAGGCTAAAGGAGATTTTATTGAGTATACCTCTGAGACGTTATCAGGCCATGCAAAATAATGTCAAGATGTTGCAGAAGCATTTTCTTTGGAACTCAACACCGACTAGGTATGATCTGTTCCATATGATTTTGCATTCAATTTGGTTTAGCAGGCTCAACCAGCTTCAAGTATAACAGATATCTCAATTCCCTTGAGTTCTAGTTGTTCCAACTTGACGGTAGGGGTGGACATCGGTTGGTTCGGTTATGAATATTATCAGTTTAGCATATCGGTTTACAAATTTGATATACCGATAATCGAACTGATAAGATATCGGTTATCGGTTATTAGTTATTCTATTATCGATCATTATCAGTTCGGTTATCAGTTTACCCAATAAGATAACTCAATCTAGAGTTAAGCAAAAATGAGAAGAATTCACATATAGTATATTACCCATTAAGGTCTATGAAGAATGAAGATGAAGCAACTGAAGAGTGCGGCTGAGAAAGAATAGGAGAGAATGAACTGAAGTCCTAGCATATGTATATACTTAAGGGTAAAGTCGTAATTTTATTAATTCTTATTGGGTTATCAATTAACCCATTAACAAAATTGGCAAACCGAAGCCCGAACCGATAACCTAATAGTGAAAAAATTCTAAACCGTTACCAAACCGTTAACCCAATAACCCGATACCGATAATCTAATAAATAATTAATGGTTCGGGTTATCGATTTTACCCAATATATGTCCAGCCCTACTTGACGGTGTACTGGATTTTGGTTTATGACCTTAAGAGGTCATCAAATCGGATGTTGATATGCAAAACTTTTCAAGAGTTGCAGCTGGTTCAGTTGTTCAGTTCCCTTGACTTGTGCACTTGAAATGATATCAGGTGCTGAATGTTGTGGGGTCCATCCCCATAAATGAAGAAGACAAAAAATAGATAAAGTCTTTTCTATGTCTTTTTTGGCTGCCACCGTCTTTGTTGAATTGAAGAGTTTGAATATCTCTTCCTTTCTTTTTGATGTCACCGATGACATCTGTAGGGATATGGAATTTCTATAAATAGAGAGCTTCTGAGCCATTTGTAATACACCAACAAAGAGAGAAAAGAGAGAGTAAGGTATTCCATAAACTATAAGAAAATAGTTTGTGAAGAAAAATAGAGTGTGAGAGATATTGTAGTGAGGTGGAAAAAATAAAAGAGTGTTTATTTCTTTTGAGGGTGTAGTGGTCTTAGGAGTATTTTTACTCGTTACTACACAGTGTAAAATTCCTCGCTATAGTGATATCAGTTGCTCTTCTTGGCCGTGGTTTTTCCCTTATTCAGAAAGGTTTCCACGTAAAATCTCGGTGTCATTATTGCTGCATTTCTATTCTTGCTGATTTAACTATAACTTAGTGTTCTGCGTTTATCACTAATACCGTGAATATTATTTTACGGGGTTTATTCCCTACAAGTGGTATCAGAGCCAAGGTTCTGTCTGAGTATGCTCTGTGGTTGCAGCACATGCTGAACTTCCACATCAGAAAAGAATTACTTTGGTCTCATAATAAATAATATTTACATTTGTGATAAACAATGGAAGCCAACACTAGTAGAATGATTACTTTGAATGACACAAATTATGCCATTTGGAAGGGCAAAATGGAAGATTTGCTCTATGTCAAGAATTTTCATCAACCTGTCTTCGCCACTATAAACCCTGATAATAAATCAGATGAAGAGTGGAACTTGTTACACAGACAGGTTTGCGGCTTTATTAGACAGTGGGTTAATGATAATATTTTGAACCATATTTCTGGGGAGACACATGTTCGGATCCTATGGGAACACCTTGAAAGTTTGTATGCTCGGAAAACTGGAAACAACAAGATGTTTCTGATAAAGCAGATGTTGGGTTTAAAATACCATGATAGTTCCGCGATGACAGATCATCTGAATAATTTTCAGGGGATGATGAACCAGTTATCTGCTATGGGCATTAAATTTGATAAAGAAATTCAAGGCTTGTTTCTACTTGGTTCCCTACCAGATTCTTGGGAAATTCTTAGAACTTCATTATTAAATTCTGCTCCGGATGGTGTGATCTCTATGGATCTTGCCAAGAGCAGCCTTTTAAATGAAAAGATGAGAAGAAAATCTCAGGGTTCCTCCTCATCAGATGTCTTGGTGACTGACTCTAGAGGGAGAAGTAAAAATCGGGGTTCTCAAAATAGAGAACATAATAGAAGCAAATCCAGAAGCAGACTTAAAGACATTGAGTGCTATCATTGCGGGAAGAAAGGGCACACAAAGAAGTTCTGCTGGATTTTGAAAATGGAGAATAGAGACAAGGAAGAACAGAAAGAAGATGGCAATCGTGTGGCCACCGTTACTACAGAAGATCTTGTTACTGTCCTTGATGTGGATCTTATAAATATTGCTTGTGATGAGTTAAGCTGGGTTGTGGACAGTGGTGCCGCATCTCATATGACATCAAAGAAGGAATTTTTCCCATCCTATACTCAGGGTGACTTGGAACTTTGAGTATGGGTAATGACACTGTATCTAGGGTGGCTGGTGTTGGAACGATTTGTTTGGAAACTAGTATTGGAACTAAACTAGTTTTAAACAATGTAAAACATACACCTGATGTTCGTTTGCACTTGATCTCTGTTGGTGTTTTGGATGATGAGGGATATGTCAGTACCAATGGTGCTGGAAAGTGGAAGCTCACTAAGGGTTCCATGATTGTGGCTCGTGGGGAAAAGCGTCGTGGTTTATACCGGACTACGGCCTCTACCTGTGTTTGTAACACCCCAAAATTTTTATAATATTTGCATTCTTGATTGAGCATTTTTATAACGAGGAAATATTTTACTTTGCACTTCCTAAATGTGAAATGGTCAATATATGAAAATTTCTTACTTTAGGTTGTGTTAATATTGGCAATAAAGTTCCATGATGTTTCTATATGTAACACTTAATATTATTTTGACTAGTTGTTATTAAATATAATATGTAATTAAGTTTTGGTTTCCAACATTTTGTATTTATCTAAGAATATTTAGTAGTTGGGTAACCATTTTATTTCATATCTATCCATTTCTCTCTTTCTATCTATCTCTCCTTCTCTCTATCTCTCTCTCTCTCTCCTCCGTAGAAACTTAAAAATCTGAAGTTTCATGAAAAAACCCATGGATTTCTACTAAATCAACAAGCAAATTTCGTTTTCGGTGAAGATCAAGTTGCTCCTCTTGGTAAGTTTCTAAACTCGTTTTTATACTAGATACCTACTAGAATTTTCAATATATCATTTTGTACAAGGCTCCGATTTAAGTGATCCAGGACTTTCTGGAAAGGTATTTCATAAATCTATAACTTTTATGAAGGAACCAAAATCTAGTTTTGTTGGTATTTACCTAAAAAAGGATCAGAAAGTACAGGGCAGGTGCTGTCCAGATTTCCATTTTTAGAAATACTCCATGTACTGCTGTTAGTAATTTTAGCATAACTCTTTGTTCAAAATTGATATGGAGGTGATTCAAGATGTTCTGAAACGGTAAGACATAGATCTACAGCTTTTGTGAAGACCAAAAGTCTAGTTTGTCCGTGTAAATCTTCAAAACTGAGTCACAACACGGAACAGTGATACTATCCAGAATTTCTATTTCAAACATTTTTGGGTAATTTTCACCAATATCATATTTAGTTTGACTTACTAAATCACTGAACTTATTTAGATATTTGATTATGTATTTAAGGTATATAAACCCTTGGAAAAAATCAAAGGGGAGGTGTTTGAGGAAGTGGACAGATTTGGTTTGTTTACTGCGTAGACGATTCGAACGTCCCCAAGTTGTGATTGAACTGTTTCGTGGTAAAACACCAAGGTTTGTGTATAAACTTGTACTCTTTTTGCTTGCTGGAATATGTTGAAATAACTTGATACTTTATTTTTCTTGGCTTCAATTTATATTGTTATATTCGTACTATATCAAGTATTGTAAGATATTTGCTAAATCACCCATTCGTACGGATTGTTTGATCATTTTGCATTCTTGTTGGGACTTTGTCCTTCTTGTGGCAGTGACTTTGTCACTCATCTTGGCATGCCTCTTGATTTGGATCTTTTGCCATCTTGACTTTGGATTTGTAGTTCGTCTTGAATTATGGAACTTGTCCGTGTTAAGTACGAACTAGGAAGCCATTTTTAATATGGTTCTTGATTCTCTTGTCTATTGGGTTTTGACCCTACTTGATTTGGGGCTTCGGTCCATCTTGATATCTGATTATGCTTAGTGTGATGGCATGACGTACATATTGGGCGAAAAATGGATATTTGGTATACTCTCTTAAATTGATAGTATACACTTTCTAGACTCTTGAACATTGTTATTGATATTTGGAAACACTTCAAAGTTTGATATTGATATGTTTGATATATTTGTTCACTTGTTTTAAATTATGTTAAATTGAGCTAACTATGACTGAAAAGGGGAATTGGAGAATTTAATGACTCCAAGCCTAAAGTTTATATACCACTAAGCTTTATGCTTAGCAATAGTTGTTTTCTATCGTAGGAAATGTTCGGGATGAAATCTGAAGATGGCCAGGGTGAAGTGGTCTTTTTGGGAGAATTTATGGAGATCACATTTGCATATGCACCTTGGTTTGCATAGTTTTGGGACATGTACATGATATNAGTCCTATGCTGATCTTAAAAGGCGTGAAATTGAGCATCAGGTGGGCGATAAGGTATTTTTAAAGGTTTCTCCATGGAAGAAGATTATGAGATTTGGCCAAAAAGGTAAACTTAGCCCTGGATTCATTGGACCTTATGAAATACTTGAGAGAATTGGTCCGGTTGCATATAAGCTAGCTTTGCCACCTGAATTAGGTAAGATCCACAACGTCTTTCATGTTTCTATGCTTCGAAAATACCGCTCAGATCCATCTCATGTTCTTTCTATTGAGTCTATTGAGGTTAATCCTGATTTGGCATATGAAAAAGAACCAACCCAAATCTTAGCGCGTGAGATAAAAGAGCTTAGAAATAATAGAATCCCATTAGTGAAAGTTCTTTGGAGAAATCATTCAGGCGAAGAAGCTACCTGGGAGCGACAAGAGGATATGCGAGTTCAATATCCACATTTGTTTCGGGACTAGTACAAGGTAAATTTCAAGACGAAATTTTTTTTAGGGAGAGAGAGTTGTAACACCCCAAAATTTTTATAATATTTGCATTCTTGATTGAGTATTTTTATAACGAGGAAATATTTTACTTTTGCACTTCCTAAATATGAAATGGTCAATATATGAAAATTTCTTACTTTAGGCTGTGTTAATATTGGCAATGAAGTTCCATGATGTTGCTATATGTAACACTTAATATTATTTTGACTAGTTGTTATTAAATATAATATGTAATTAAGTTTTGGTTTCCAACATTTTGTATTTATCTAAGAATATTTAGTAGTTGGGTAACCATTTTATTTCATATCTATCCATCTCTCTCTTTCTATCTATCTCTCCTTCTCTCTATCTCTCTCTCTCTCTCTCTCCTCCGTAGAAACTTGAAAATCTGAAGTTTCATGAAAAAAACCATGGATTTCTACTAAATCAACAAGCAAATTTTGTTTTTGGTGAAGATCAAGTTGCTCCTCTTGGTAAGTTTCTAAACTCGTTTTTATACTAGACACCTACTAGAATTTTCAATATATCATTTTGTACAAGGCTCCGATTTAAGTGATCCAGGACTTTCTGGAAAGGTATTTCATAAATCTATAACTTTTATGAAGGAACCAAAATCTAGTTTTGTTGGTATTTACCTAAAAAAGGATCAGAAAGTACAGGGCAGGTGCTGTCCAGATTTCCATTTTTAGAAATACTCCATGTACTGCTGTTAGTAATTTTAGCATAACTCTTTGTTCAAAATTGATATGGAGGTGATTCAAGATGTTCTGAAACGGTAAGACATAGATCTACAGCTTTTGTGAAGACCAAAAGTCTAGTTTGTCCGTGTAAATCTTCAAAACTGAGTCACAACACGGAACAGTGATACTGTCCAGAATTTCTATTTCAAACATTTTTGGGTAATTTTCACCAATATCATATTTAGTTTGACTTGCTAATCACTGAACTTATTTAGATATTTGATTATGTATTTAAGGTATATAAACCCTTGGAAAAAATCAAAGGGGAGGTGTTTGAGGAAGTGGACAGATTTGGTTTGTTTACTGCGTAGACGATTCGAACGTCCCCAAGTTGTGATTGAACTGTTTCGTGGTAAAACACCAAGGTTTGTGTATAAACTTGTACTCTTTTTGCTTGCTGGAATATGTTGAAATAACTTGATACTTTATTTTTTTTGGCTTCAATTTATATTGTTATATTCGTACTATATCAAGTATTGTAAGATATTTGCTAAATCACCCATTCGTACGGATTGTTTGATTATTTTGCATTCTTGTTGGTACTTTGTCCTTCTTGTGGCAGTGACTTTGTCACTCATCTTGGCATGCGTCTTGATTTGGATCTTTTGCCATCTTGACTTTGGATTTATAGTTTGTCTTGAATATGGAACTTGTCCGTGTTAAGTACGAACTAGGAAGCCATTTTTAATATGGTTCTTGATTCTC